CGCCCAGGTCTTTGAGTGACGATTGTCGGGGTCCTCCTTTACATATTTTCAAACAAACTCTGCATGTGAGTTTACTTTGTTTGCAGAACACAAAGGCAGCCTGCGTAATATATTTGTTTTAGTCAGTCTATTGTTTACACTTTTTGAGGTGACTTACAGCAAACACTACAGATAAGCAAATGACAGAGCCGTAACACGAAACAATATTTTTTCCATATATCTAGGTTATTAGTTTTATATTTGAACTTTAAGACTACTGACCCCTTTTCATGGCTTTTGAATGCTGAATCCTTCTCCAATATGAAAGCGTAAAAGTGTTTTGATCAGTTCCTTTAATTCGAGACAGAAACAAAAGATAGGGGTAGCGTATTTTCCTGTTGTTTTAATCGTTGTACCTTCCAAGAGCATTATACTACGTACTTCCACATATAACATTTTTCGTTCTTTCGCGTCGTACCAGCTAAAAGAACGAGGACCATTTTAAAATTTAGTATTTCCGTAGTTCACATCAAGACATCTTTTATTCGCCTTATGCTTTTTTTTTTGGTTGTACAACACCACCCAAGCGCACGGTAATGTCACATTTGAATACATTTCCGAAGGATAAGCGAACGAGGGGATTAAATCCCCCCATAATACTACTTCATCATTGCCAGTCGTTTCACGATGCTTCAAAGTTTACTTTCGAGTCAGGCGCCGACCACTTCTCCACTTGAGTCCTGACTAGTAATTCAAGCAGGCTCATCTCAGCGTGCATACCTGTGAGAGGCAACGGGAAGTTATTTTCCTTTAAGGTACGCATAGAGGCGGGGAGTACTAAATTATAGTTGGAAGTATTAGAATTCAGCGCTTTACTCGAGCTGAGACAGTTGCCTCATTGTGTCATCTATTAGTCTGACATTTTTGTTAAGGTTACTTTCAATTCTTTCCTTTACGGCATTTCCTCCTTCTCGTTGGAGACGTGCAAAAAAAAGAAGGCTTTTCTTTAACTTTTGTATTTTTAGTTTCTTTTCTTTTCTCGGTGATTGCAGCACATCTGCTCTGCAATGGGAATAGAAACCCTCTCGGCGTGTGAACTTTCAACGTTATGAACACCTAGAGCAGTGGTTCTTAACCATTGATGATTGCGAACCCCTTGTTGATCGGCGGAGATGACTGAGGACCCCATTCGTAAGGGAAAGGAAAAGGTATAGATTAATTCTGATTATGATTTAATAAGTGAATATTACTAAGAGATTGTGTGAAGTAGACTTCTCTTATTTATATATGCACGAGAAAACTCACCCTAAAATCGGAACGCTTCTTCGCAATCGGAAAAAAATAACTTTTATTGTCGGGCTTGGCTGACGAGGCAGGGCTTCGCGGACCCTTAGAATGCCTTCGCGGACCCCAAATGGTTCACAGACACCCATGGAAGAACCACTGACCTAGAGAATTATGCGTGTCTGATCTTCGTCGACCCGACAAGGTGTACGACCTTGCCAGTGATTACCGTATTTACTCGAGTAATAGCCGCACTGTTTATGACGAAAGCCTGAAGGTTTGCTTTTCCGCGGAGCACGCAGATTGCCAATCACCGCGTTCGACAGCATGATTCCAGCTGATTAGAAGAAAAAGATAACGTCTTCGTGCAAAGATCTCATCCGTGTAGATTGCATTTTTATGGAGAATCGTGTTCTCGATCTTTCTATTCACTATGTTATTTATGCGCAACGCAATGATTGGCTTTATATGTGTTCTGTGGGGAAATTAGACGCAAAGGCATTGTTTATGAATAGTGCGGCTATTACTCGAATAAATACGGTAATGTTAATGCTATAGCAAACTCGAATATTCGCCCACCCAATATCGCTAGCCAGAACGCCCTCTTTTGTATTAGCGGTTACACGAGCCCTTTCGCGGCGTGCACTTCAAGAGTTGTGGTGTGTCTACTTCGCGGCAAGACACATGGGAGAGACAATATCTGCAATTTACGGACGGAGCTCGGCGAATGACGAGGCTGACATTATGTTTAGGCCTTAAACAGCGTTTGCACCCTGGCAGCTGAGCATGAAAATTCAGCATTGTCTTTGCCACAGCGCACGCTCCTTTTTTTAGGTCTACGTAGACATATTTTCAGGCCGTCATTTGTTGAGCTCTCTCTATGAACTGCAGGGATTAGTTTTTCCACGCGCCTTGCTGAAACGCAAATGCTCCGGACTTCTTAGACTGTAGGCTCATTCTACCGGGTGTCTCAAGTAGTGGCCAGGCTCTTTAAATCGACCGCAAAATTCGGTTTCTCAACCTATCATCGCTACGATTTTGTGCAGCGTTGTCCACAGGTGGTGATTTTTTTCTATAAAATTTGCAAAGAGTGAACTTGCCTGAGAAAAAAGTAAAAAAAGAAGAAAAGCTTAACTCCTATGGAAATGCAGCGAATCTACCGGTCTTTAAACAACAGGCCACCCTATTGTTTGAAGACCTGTAACTTAATTCGTTGCATTTCCATAAGATTTAAACCTTTTTCTTTTTTTGCTTTTTCCTCAGGTAAGCTCGCTCTTTGCGAAATTTATAGAAAGAATGCACCACCTGGTGGGCGACGCTGCACAAAATCGTAGCACGATAGGTTGAGAAACCGAATTTCGCGGTCCATTTAAAGAGCCTGGCCGCTGCTTGGGAGACCCGGTAGAGTGCGTCCAATGTTTGTGCTGCAGCGTTGCTTCTTGAAGGACGAAGGGAACCGTCCCCAGTGGGAATGCAGTTTCCATTCACACCAGGTCACGGCGTGCATGGGCTAGAGACAGTGTGTCCTCCCAAAAATATAGTTTTTTTATTGTTATGTTGCAAATCGAAATTACGCGTCGACAAGCGTTCGTTCTCCGTCTAAATGTAGCATTATAGCGGTCGGTCCGAACTAGACGCCAAAGTTCCAGAACTAACAGTTATCTCATTCAAAAGTTGCAAGTGACTTTCTAATATTTTAAGTGGGAAAATGGCGACCGACGGAGCTATAGAATACGAGAAGCTGAATGGCGCCAGTTAGCAAAAACGGGCGAAAACGGGCCCCATTTTCCCATTGAGACTTTCAGAAAATAACATGATTTTGAAGGAGATAGCGGTCAGGTCTGCAACTTTGGCATCTGGTTCGGAGCGCTAAATTTAGCGGGGAAATTGACGTCACGTGACTTCAACCCCAATTCAGTTTCCTCGCTAAATTTAGCGAGGAAAATGACGTCACACGACTTCGTGTCACGTCATCCATCAGCAAATTCAGTTTCTCCGCTAGATTTAGCGGAACAATTTACATCACGTGACCCCCTCACCAATTCAATTTCCCGCTAAATTTGGCGGGGCGCTTACGCCAACGCCGACGATGACGGCGACGGCGACGGCGACGCCGCGAAACGTGGAAACGGGCGCCTAAGAGCTGTGCTCTAAAAGTAGATTCGGTCGGTCTCTTTACGTGTGCACAAAGAGAACAATTGATAATAGAATTGCGCTTGATAAACCTTATCTAAACGATGGTCGCTTGAAGGCGGATTTTTGACGCATGTTATCTGGGTGGCTTCAATTACAGATTTAGTGTACAGTTCTCATTACATGTGCTTTGAAACGTAAACGCCTTTTTAATTGTGTATCCGGCCGGTATTAAGAACAGTATGTTAAAATTCTATATTTTGTTCGCGTCTTACCATAAACCTCATTTACTTATAGATCCACACGGCTTGGCAGACATGTTTGTTCACCCCTTGTTTAGAACTGAACCGTCACCATAATTTTAGTGACGCGCTGGAAATTGCATGAACAACTTTTATAAGCACAAATATCTAGCTTTTACTGGAAATATACCTGAATAGAATCAAATTTTCATTTTCAAAAGGATTGCTGAAGTCACAACCAGTGACGTGGGCCACCAAAAGCGTCGCTGTGGTCGAAGTTTGCGATTGGCCAAACCATAGCTTCCTGGACACTGATAATGCCTGCCCAATCGCAGGTTCACGGTGTGGAAAATCCTGCCAATCGCGGTGAGGCAAATCATGGCCGTGACGTCGGGAGCGGAAACCATCAGAGGGCGCCACCGAAACTTCTCGGCGCTAGTAGGGCAGACTCTGAAAAACGTATGTAAGTCCTCCTTCACGCGAAATTGAGACAGCCAATCACGGCGGACACTACAAGGCTCACACCCAATCACGATGCCAAGGGTGTGATAATATCTGTAAAATGCGATATGCACAGAGGCATTTATGAACAGAAACGTCATGCTCGTTGTCCCTGTGCACATCGTATTTTTTGGGTCTAACCGAATTCTGAGCCACGTAATTTGCTGGTATCCATCTGTTGCTCGCCGTGATTGGCTGTACCTGCGCTGTGGCCCTTTTCCAAGTGCTTTGCGGGGAAGTAGATTCTCCAGATTCTGGAGTACGATTTCAACGCATCGAAATAATGCGCGCGTCGGTTTAGACCATCGTTTATTTCACATTTTCGTGGCTCTAATGCATAAATATAGACGCTTTGCGCACGCGCAAGACTACAGCCGCCATTGCTGAGCTTCCCCCGACTCACCCAGATGCCGAGCCAGTGAAGTGGGCGCATTGACGAGCTGCTACAAAAGTCCATGTTGGGGAGGAGGACGCAGTAGAATCTAAAATGCCAATAACCTGCCCCGCTGTGGGCATTGTGAAGTAAATGGAATATGAAGAAACATACATTGAATGTCGGTTATGGCGGCGCCCATGCACAGTTGCTGCAAAGCGTCTATACTATAGAAACGAAACGGTAGATAATCCTCCGAAAAGCATGCATCATTCGCTTTCGCCCTTGTCCCACTAGGGCGACAAACAGAACCAACCGACACAGACAAGCGCCTGAAACACGTGCAGCATGCGCGCGGTGGTACATCTGGTAGACTTGCAGTCTCTCTGCGCCCAAGAAGCGTGTACGAGTGCTTTCGAGCTTGACAAAGCTGCCTTCGCGTGCATGCTGCAAGTGTACGATGCTTGTCTGTGTCGGTTGTTTCTGTTTGACGCTCTAGCGGGACTCGGGCATCACGCTGCACGAGCGCTGCAATGAAGGGAGCGCTACACTTCGTTTCACTTGAGTCTGACCAGCCGATGCCACGATATGGCGGAGCGCTGTGCGTTGAACGTCCCTGGCCCCTCTTCGTTCCTCTAAACTCGTCGTTTTCAACAGGTCATCATGGCCCCCCGCGTCCTGAGTGTTCCTCGTATTAACGTCGTTGCCTTGTGGGGCAGTTCACAGTCTCGTCCGAATGGCGTCCACTTCTGTCCTGCGGATAAGAAAGGAAATTCCAGATACTCGTCAATTACATCGAACGGAAGACGAGGGATCAACGCCGTCCTTTTTGCGTTAAGCCTTTCCGGTGTACTGCATGTTACCGACAACCTAAGAAACGCAGGGCGTAGCGAGACACAAGCACCTTCTTACTGCTCGGCGGCCAATGAGGTATTAGCTGATAAGAACGATAAAGAAAAAACCACGAAGCAAGAAACGTAAAGGCCATGACCTGCGTTTCTTGAGCTGTCATTGACTATATCATACACTGCTGATAGCGGGAACGTAACATCCAGCTAGCCGACAGCCTGGCACTGTCGATACTCCGTCTCAGTCGAAACTAGACAGAGGCGGATGCCACGAGCCATTGGCGCCAATCCATTTCCAGGTGCGCATGATGCGACCTCGCGGTTGAATGCCGCGATACGCAGAGCACATGGTGACGTGGCACGCTCTCGGCGCCGAGTGGACAATTCTACATTAAAGAGCCACCGTCTGGGGAGTTGTGTGTGAACTACAAATAAAGGGCAGCCTAAGAAGCCTCCGCCCGTTAGAACACATTGACATCATGCCGTTGTATCGGTTCTCACTGGTTTTTATGCCCCATACTACCAATACTCCAAAACGAATCGTAAAAAGAAAATTGCCCATGAAGATAGGTGCTGAATATGTGGGTCGTGCGGGACAGTGCCCTCCGAAAATGGCGACAGCGGGAAGATAGGCCATTGAGAGAGTGTACGCACATGCAAAAGCTTACTGGATAAAGGTGTATTGGCTGGGCCGGCTCGTTGCGCCCACAGCGGTCTAGTTTACGGTGAGCACGTTCTCCCACGGGGATGCTTGTAACCTGTGATTACGATGAGTCGCCTACAAGAAGCACGTCACATTTTTTGCACAACAGAAATGCCCCAGTGCGATGCCAGAAATCAGTACGTTTTAGGTGCGTAAGAAAGTTACAAACCTGTATGCGATCATGTCTTACCTAAAAAAGAAATTAGGTTTTTACAAATTGATGTGTTTTTGTTTTAACTACTGCTACCGGGAAGCATTTAATTGAATTTCGTATTCCTGGTCATTGCAAGTACAGTCAGGTTTTTTATGCTGGGTCTTTTGAGGATTCTTTTAAATCTGTAGAACCCAACCTCATATCGAAATTTGTAGGAAACTGTCAAAAATTAAAACTACTTAAAGACGGATGACCAGTTTGCGCTTTCCACTTTTCTCCCGCTTCCTCCTCTCCCCCTTCTAGCCTGTCCACCGTTGCCTGTTTGCTCCTCCGCCATGGTGAGGGGGATCTTCTGCCTTGCAGAATATCGAGTCTGGTCGTCGGCCTTTAAACTAGAATGTCAATAAAACTATTATCGAGCAGCCTCTTTTGCGTCGTAGACTGAAGCTTCGAAAAATTCAAGACCTTACGGAAACGCCTGAATCATACGGTATTATAATTGGAGCATACTACATGTTTCTGTTTTATTGCAGAAGTAGGCATTAATTGGTTAGTCACGAACGTTAGATGGTTTGGAGGACATGCAATAAAGATGTGAGAGCATAACATTATTTATAAATTAAAAATACAAAGCTACGTTAATACTGATAATGATGCTGGAACTGGGATCAAAATTTCAATTGAGTTGAAACTAATAATGAAAACAAAAAGTGTTGTCTCACGTAGAGTCTGTGGCAATATGAGTTGGCACATACGAGTACAAGCCAAAAGGTAGAGAAGGACTCACAGGGGGCCTCCGGTATGCTAAGCTATGAAACCGACTGCAACATTGCGACAATAGGAAATGTGGCCGGCTATTGGCGACTCCAGCGAAACGGACGGCACCAAGCGGGAAAACCGGGAACCAGCCAGAACAGGTCACTGTGCGCCTCTCCGCGTCTCCGGCGGCTTTCGCGGACGCGTTGTCGGCGCGGTGGCGAACAATGTAATTTGACAGAGGTCCGAATATTTCTTAAGTTTGTCTGAGTGTTCGTCAGTGTGGTGAGGACTCAGTAGATTGTTTCCTTACTTCACGTGTTTGAAAGCTCGTTTACTCCACAACACATGGCCGCGTGGTTTCGTTTTTTTCGATGGAGAGGAATCACGGAAAAACGTTTTGATTTCATGTCTGTCTCGAATCACGTTCAACGTGACGACTACTTGGTAACTGATAAGTGGTTTCTTTATAAGGATGCAGAACAATGAACTGAGAAAACAAACGAGGTTTTTTTTGTTTTTTTTTGAGGGAGCACTAATGTGGCAGTCAAGTGAATAGGAAGGTTCGATAGCTGCTTTTTTTTTAGTTTGGTTGTGTTCGATTAACTTCAAGATTGAACCACCCACGTCGGTCAGTGCGTTGGCTATTCATCTTGGCTGCTTTTCGCCGAAAAAGCCTCTGGGCCACACCCAAGTAGATGGGCTGATTTCGCAAATATTTGATGCGGAATACCTTCTTGCTGCATACGATTAATGAGGGAAATCGTCTGCTTTGAAAACGTGGGGACGCGTCTCGCAAAATTAGAAGCTGTCATGACATTATAATCTATCGTGCCTCCAATATTTATATTATATCCCAGTTGAAGCCAGCAGCAATATACGTCTACATTGCTCAGGTTGTCCAGCCACAAAAGATACAAAATTTCTTCCTTCAGGATTCGAAGTCAAGTTCAATGCAGAGGGGTACTGCCTGAATCTCCGATGAAGACTCTCTTCAGTTTGTCCGCATTCGTCTCCGTGCTGCCGGCTAGAACCATTTGGCTGAGTTTAAGTAGTATGTCTGCGGCTGTGAAATATATATGCACTTTCATTCAGGAAATCACCTAATAGGTAGTAAACTAAGCTCATAATTTAATCCCAAGAATATACTAATATCGCTTTAGTGGGACCATAGTACGTAATATAATACATAACCCGCCCATTCGTCAGAATGACTTCTCGATTGCTACTAAAACTTGAATTGAAATACGAGTATCACCTGCTTAGTGGGGCGCCAGAGGGTTTACATGCTCCTTAGCTCAAAAAGCGCTTGCTTAATTTTCGTAATATTCCTGCAGCTTGCGTTTTTGACCGAGCAGGCGACTGGAGCTGTTTCTTAAACGCGGATACGCACAAAAGCTCGAATTCGCGGACAGAAAAGTCGCATGGTCGAGGCATGCGAGTTAGCTGAAAATTACTCTCGGGTGAACAATTCTGTAACCATCGCCGCTTTTCTTAGTTGATCAAAACTGATTAGAGTCTATTACAGTCTTTCCGGGGCCCATATTTTAGGTTTTAAACGAAATCTGCGAAACAAACGTATGACATGAAAAGAACGAAAAACACCAGGAAAACAAAACTATGCTCTGCAAGTTTGTGTGTACAGGTTACACTTAACCTTCGCAGTTCAAATATTCATAAAATATGGCATTAAACAAAAGGAAATCTGACAAATTAAATGCGCCATCCGTTCAGGCGGCCCGGCCGAGCCGACGCGACATGTTACCAGCCGCCACGTTTGTTTGGTGGTGGCGCGCCCTGTATGTCTCTGGAGCAGCGAATTCCAAACACTTTGCTAACAGTTTGACATACCCGGGGTTTCACGTATGTCTTCAGCGTCGCCCTGGCCTGAACGCCGCTGGACCAGATCATATTGCCGCATCCCGTACATATGTTGTCGGACAGCTATATGCACCCGTTCAGTTGAAAGATCGACATGGTTCTTTTTCCTCCCGTAGTACTGAGCTACGCTTCCGTGTAGAAAGGAAGAGTGGGTTTTTTTTTTCCCGTAATAGATGCCCCCATGACCTCATTGTTGTTCGGTGAGTGATCCGGGAGATTAAAGCCAGCCGGTCCCTCACACAAAAAATAAAAAAAATGAAAATAAATAAAAATAAGAAAGAAAAAAAAAAGAACACCGACAGCACGCGAATATCAAACTTAAAGAAATCTAACAAATAATTCTTCAATGCTCTCCGTTTATAGTCCCTCTTCCATCATCTTGTCCTAGAAGAAAGCGAACTTGGAGCTAAGTTTGTGTCAATAAAATAAAACTCTTCAGTTGAATGCTCAAAGGCTCTAATAACAGTGAAAAGGTTACTCCTGCGCGCAGACTGAGATATTCGAAAGTATTGTCTCGGTAAATAAAATAACCGTTCTATCACCGTATCTATACACCAGTTGAGCTCTCTGACGTCACGGCATTGCGGTGGCGCTGCTCTCGGCACCGCGCATGCCCACACGCTTCACTTGACAGGAATCTGGTTTCTGCGCAACGAGGGATAGACCGATCTCACCAAGCGTTTGGCGCTTGCGCGAGGCAGCCATAATTTTAGTTCACAGGAGGCATTCGGCAGTGCACGAGACTGTTTGTGCCCTGCACGCGCAGAGTTCCAGCGAAGTTGTCGCACGCGCAGAAAGACTAAAGTTCCCTCGATGCATTGCCGGCAGGGGTGGCGTGGTCAAACTGGCTGTTGAGATCGGTCTATTGTTTGTAAACAGTGTGTTGGTCCCATATAGTTAATATAATGTACGCTAGACTTTCACCTGGCGCTAGTGTCTATGCGACTTACGGGAGGCAAACTGAAGCAGACAGCAACCAGTCTACTTCTGCGGTGTTTCTGTGCATTCCTATGAGAAAACGCCCGTGCATTTTGTCTCCCCGCCAAAAAACAAAAACAAAAAAACAAAGATTACTTTTGTGATTTGGGTCGTACCGAAATGCATGTACAGTTCGCCGCAATATGAAATACCCACTGGGAGCGCGTGGCCGAGGCGGTGGCTGGCCGAGGCGGTGGCTGGCGGGGGCGCTGCGAGCGCTCTGGGCAATTCCATTCTGCTTCTGGGGGAGGACGCTCACTCGGGGCTTAGCACAAACTGATAAGCGCGTTGCGCTTTAGCTGAGCCCCGAGTGAGCGTCCTCCCCCAGAAGCAGAATGGAATTCCCTAGAGCGCTCGCAGCGCCCCCGCAAGGCGGATTGATGGATGGATGGATGGATGAATACGGCTGAGCCCTTTAGTTCGGGCGGTAGCTT